ACAAAGTCAAGCAGATGAAGTGGTAGACTCCACAAAGGCACTTATACGTACAATTCTCGTATCCCTTGGAGTTCCACAACCCGTCATGCATTGCCACTAATTACAGAATGGTGGGTAAGAGGAGTCGTTGGGTACGGTAGGTATAATTGCACGCAGCCATTAGCGAAGTAGTTCCGTTTGCAGGAAGCGTTGCAGGAAGTGTGGCGATATTTTCAAGAAAAAGCATCATGACCTAGTAACGCTTGTTTTTCTTACAGTACTTCTGCGAATTCGACGTTGTAGGTACTCCTAGATTTTGCTGGCCTGATTCCCGCATAAAACAGCACATTTATTCGTTCAGCTGGAAGACTGCCTCGTTCCCGTTTCTGGTAATGCATCGGAGCTTCTGTATTGAAGTTCTTGATTTTCCCCAAGTTGTGAATGCAGTAAATGTGATCCAGTTCATGAATGCGTACTTTCAGCAATGTAATGAGATTTTCAGAGGAAAAACAAAACTTCCAAGGTGTATGATGATGACTTCGATTTGGTCAGCGATCAACTTACCGATGAAGAGATTGAAGAAGTGAAAAATCAGATAAGAGAAACCTGTGCCGCATTGAGACTCACGTAAATGTTTGCCTGAATTGATGAATTGAACAAAGAACTGTCCTGTCCATACTCATTGAATTGCACTTAGCGATAAACCATTTTGCCACCGTATGTTAAAGTGTTCTGAATTGACCTCTGTGCAACCACTTCTATTCTATGAGAATTACTTTCGGAAATGGTCGTGAGCCTTATAGGAAGATCGCCCACTGGGGAATCAGAGCCCAGGGTAGAGAACAATAAAAAAAGAAACTTGAGACCCGCGTGTCTCTCGCCTCTTTCGATTCGGGGAGAGTTAATGGGGAAGAACTATTCCAGTTGCTAGAAAAACCGTCTTTTCTTCGGCAGATTGACTCTCCCACCGGCAAAATGCCTTTTTCCCGTCTTTAAACTCAGCAAAACCATCACCATCACTGCCAGTGGATTGAGCGAAAGGACGTCGAAAGCTCAAATTTTATCTGTGAAAACATCACGATAAAACATCACATTGACGAGCCCTCCGCCCTATCCTGAAATGCGAAAAGGCTAAAAAGCGCTCTACGAAAGTAATCCATGTAGTTGTCAAATCGATGTATTTCTATGATTCAGCGAAATGTATTACCAAACTCTTCATCAAACCAAGCAGAATCTGTCTCCGGTATTAATCGGGGTTTCTTCCTTCACTTCTGAACGCATCTTACTTATTGAGAAGGAGTCACTAGATGCTAATGAAATTTGTGGATGCTTTTTCATAGAGGTCATTCCTAACACCTCAAGCGCAATAGACCCGGTTGGTACTCTCTGGTCCAATGAAGGGAATAAGGTATTATAAAAAGCATGAACGTCTTCTTCAATGGTAGTCAACGATGCTTCAAAGCAGAATAAACGCATAAAAATAGGAATGTTTGGAGATTTTGATTGAGATCTTCCAGTGGTGACCAACAATCGGCAATAAAGCAGGCCCAAGTAACATTAGAGTGTCCGAAAACCCTGGAGGGAACTTTGACCCCGAGCCTGTTGCGCACGATTGCGCTAAAGCAGACTGTAGAACAGATAGCAGGGGAAGCTCTTTGTTGATAGGCAATACTACAATTCGTAGATATTTAAGTTGTCTACGGAACTAAGTAATTATCTACCACACTACTTGCGATCGACAAGACCATCGAGGCCTTCTGCTTCACTACGACGTGACTGACCGCTTCGCCAGTCAGGCTCGGAAGGAGTTACGGTCACTGACGAGCAGCAGTGCACCCTATCTATCCTACCACCTTATCAAATATTTTTTCTCTCGACCAAGCTTCTCTGAGTGGAGCTTCCGCTTTTCTCAAAGGCCACACTTTCATTATTATCTCGAAGCAATCCTCTCCCAATTTTGTGGGATTAGAAGGACATTTCTACTTCTATTCTGTCATGACGAATTTCTACGCAGAAGTTGCTTTGTCGCTTGTAGTTACTTCTCATTGAAAAGACTGACTAAAGTTTCTAGAACTTCTCAACCATCCTATTAAACATACGAAGTACACAATGAACCTAGAACAACACAATTCAAGTTCACCTTACGCGTTCCCGAAAGGTGTTCTTTTGATAACTTCGAAGTTTTCAGGCTTTTTACCAGTCCAGAGGGATATTTTAGGAATAGAGCAGCGAGAGGGTGAAGTTTCATGATTCGTGTTGAAAGGCAATGCCCCGAGCTATGCAATAATAGCTCAATCATGGAGATTGGAGCCTACAACTTCTACTCAGTTCTGGGTAGAATTCTGAGAGAGTAATCGAAGTCATGTTAGACTAGGGATGTCTAGCTTTGCTCAAAAAACATGCTCCGAGAAAAAGTTCGCTCGTCCGAGATCCGGTAGCTCCACCTCTCGGCCTTCAGATTTGACAAGGAAGGGAAAGCGGCTTCCGTAGCCTCCACCTCATAGCAACCGATAGCAACCAAGGCATTGCTCATTTTAAATGTCCAAACTTAATATTCAAAAGCCTGATTGGCAACGCTGGCAAACATGGAAGTGGGCAAACAGATGCTCATGCCCAGATATCAAGAAAATTTTATTCAAAAGAAAAATAAACTATTGGGGGAAAATTCGATGCCCCGATGTCCAGTTACGCGGGTGAAAACTGCAATTTCAAGGGTTGTCATACTGGTAAGTGGGCGTTTAAAAGTGGTCATGCGAATGTGTCTAAAGTTGGCTTTGTGGATTATAGAGCACTGCGATCGGGACGAATGGATAGCGATGAGAAGCGATCCCATGGGAATCCCGGACGCAATGGTCATGGATGCTACATACTGCATGTGAATGCCATTGCCGCTGCAACCAATGCAACTGATGGCGTTAGCGATCTTGTGCGGGAATGTCACTCACAGTGAACATCGTCCCATGACTTCTCTACTCTCGCTTTTATTCGTATTCTTTATATACATTGAAATCTTTAGCATCAATCACTCGGTAAAACCATATACTTCAGTCTAGGCTAGCCTGTTCCATTGGAAAGCTTCCTTTGCTGAAAAGTGCCCCGTAGTGTTATGGAGCTCGGGCTGTCTTATCTCTTGGAGCTTCCTCTTAGGGCCGTCCTTTGGAAAACTTCCCCTATCAGTATCCCTAGGAGATTCTAATAAAGTCGTCTTTTTTTGTGGATAAGTCAATAGAAGCCTTGGAAAGACTATTGTTATTCTTCCATTCAGTGACCAGTAATCTAATTTTAGTCCTCTTATTTCAAAGTTTGTTTAGCCTCTCGTATTTGAATATTCCTTTGCAGTCTGAGTATGAATGGAAGCATCAACAGATTCCCATTTAATATGAAATAAAATTTCTCCATGGGAACTGCTACTGTACAGGAGCACCCGCCTACTCACGTGATATTGTTAAAGATCTCGTATCTGGGGCATGTGATAGGTCCTGCGTAGCACATTTTAAAAGTCGAAGTTTCCATTCCCTCGTTCCCTTGGGAAAACGCCAGATAATTTAGGGCTTGACTAGCTCGCATCAGGTCAAGATTGGACCCTGGCTATCCACTTGGCAACGACACTTTTTTTTCTGAGCAATTTGAACAAGATTGCGCCGTGCTTGGAGCACAATGTACTCATTCGGAAACTTCCCATTAGGGCATTCGAAACTTTTGAATAACCCCGGTTTTCCTGAAACGTCTTGAAAATATCCACGGAGCTGCTGTAAAGAGACACTACTAGCTTGAATGTGCATGCCTTTTTCTCTGCTTCATTCGAGCATATATGTACATGGGGGCCGAAGTGTTCTTTATCATCGACCTAGGGTTGTTGAGAAAAGGGAGTACTTCTTCACGAGTTCGAGTCTGGTCCCACCGATGCTGAAACCGATCGGAATACCTTGAAGAACCTTTTTACTTTCATGTACACACCTTGACCCAACTGTTCACAGCCAGGAGCAAAAAGGTCGAAGTTCAATTTCGATATTGTCAACCGATTGCGATATCTCCGAATAAAGTGTAGCTATGGATATATTGATATAGGAGGGAGGTCTGGACTTTTGTGATAACTCCGATGGATATTGCCCGAACGCCCTGATTTTGAAGAAAGACGTTCCGGAAAAGCTCCGGGTGGAGCTGGACTGAGCCATCTAACACCGGATGAAACTGGCGCGAAGAGCTCATAGTATACACCGTT